TAAGGAACCACAGTTTCTTACTCACATATGTGAAGCTCTCTAATGACTTCACTTGCATGGGAGAATACGGCTGAAAGTTAATGCACTAAAAACCTGTCTTTCCTCGAAGAAGCCACAAGACAAAGCATGTAACATTTATTGGCAGTGTACCTTTTAAATATCTTAAGTGGGTCTATTCCCATTAGTTACCAAAAGCTTACTTACAGTGAGTCTAAACAGTTGCTTCAGCCCTTTATCCTTTAGACAAGGAATAGTGGAATTTTAAAAACACTTTTTTAAAGATTAATCTTGATTTTATTCATTTCTGATAATTATTTTAGAGAACTGTAATTTGAAGATCAGTGCAAATTAATGAAATAGAATGTAGGCTCTCTGATAATATTTTAAATATGGGGATTATGTAGTATAATAGATACAGTAGTGCTCTGCAGATAAAATAATTACCAGTTATCACAAACTGTAAAAACATGATTTGCATGCATACTCAAAAAAAAAAGTCAAGATAGGAGCATATTGATGACCTCTCAGGTTCTTCTAATGAGTGTTGCCACAGGGGTTGTCGGCGATCTGGCACCCCATGTTCTGGCCTGTGACTTGTACTTTGAAGAGAGTTCCGTCAGCACACACACAGAGCTTGTAGCGCACCCAGTCGCCAGCACCAAACTGGTCCCCACTGGAGGAGCTAGGTAGGCGAGTTGTGCTAACCATCACAGTTCCATTTAGGATGATGCTGTTTTCCTATTAGGAGAGTAATAATATAATTTATTTACCTCCACAAATGAGGATAGAACAAGTCTAATAAACAAAACTCATTCGAATATTAACAAGAAAAGAAGGCAGTAAGAAAGAGTGACGTTATGACCAAAACAACAACAAAGAAAACAAAACTAATATCAAGATTCAACTAGTGACCTCTTGGTAATAGTTCAAATGCAAACCAATATATTTGAAACAATTTATTTCTCAATTAGTTAAAATTACACCAAAATTACATCCAAAGTACGCATAATAAGACTGATGTTGATAAAGTCTCAGCTCATTTTTATTTGCTACTTCCTAACAGAGTTTTAACAAAGTTACTGGTTGATAAGTTTCTGATGAGAAGAAAGACTTTTTCTCCAAGAGAAAATTAATTTTAATTCCCAATGTTTTTCAACACCTCAAATGAGGATTCAAACCACAATTCTGAAGACCAGGCACTCAAGGGAAACTGCCTGGAGGCTTTCTTCTTGAATCCCACTGTTCCAGGAATATTCTTGTGTGTAGGCCCTTTCTTTTTAGGGATTCCTAAGGTTCTCTCTCCTTTTGTTCCTTTTCTTTTTTCATGCATTTAACAAATAACTATTAAATGTCTACTACGTGTTAGATATCATTCTATGTGCTGGGGATACAGCAGTGGACAGACAGGCAAAGTTCAAGTTCTCACACAGGTACA